TCCCCAGCCAGCATGGCTGGCTGGGGAATTCTGGGAATTGAAGTCCACACATTTTAAAGTTCCCAAGGTTGAGAAACCCTGCTCTAAGCCATGAACAAGCAAACTGCATTTGGGGTTAATGTTTGGTGTGGCTGGAACCATTCTTTAATTCCCTTTTAATTTCTTTGCTATATCGTGTGGTAGAACTCCATAAATAATTATAGAGATTTCTTCTGCCTGATATATGGCTCCTTCAAACCAGAATCTTCTATCAAAACAGGGTTTAGCAACTCAGCTATGTCAAACTTAAGGGAGAAATTGCTGTCTTGCAGAGTAACTTGTACAGGGCCCCGAAAACATTGCTAAACGTGAATTCTTCCTCTCTCGCAGTTTTGGAATTATGATGCGTCCCTCTCTTTTCTGTTCAAAGTAATATTTTGGCTCTACTTCCTGTTGTTCAACTTCTCCTATTCAACACAAAGTTTTAATTATCTGATGGGTGGGTGAAAGAGCGAAACCAGAAGTGGAGGCTTTGGCCTACCTGGAGCAAAAGCAAATATATTTGTTTTCGGTCTTATATTGTGTCTGGGAAGTGCAAGCCTCGCTCTGAACTAAGTGGATGTGAAACTTACGTCTTAGTACTGTATTCAGGCATAACCATGGCTGGTGCTTCTGTTCCTTGTCTATGACCTTCTGGAAAATGGGAAGTTGGTTACCTTCAAGAAGTGCTGCTCTGCTGCTTAAGAGCTTAGACAAGGAGCAGGTGCTGAGCATGAAGGAGGAACCCCCCCACACACACATTCACATGAAGCTCTGAGGAAATAAAGATGGAAGCCACACATGTCCAGCATTCAGAGTTCCTGCTTTTGCTTGGCCAGCAACCCTGAAAACAGGAAGCCATGCTTAAAAAATAGGTGACAGGTGTGGTGAGTGGATGTGCACTGCAGATGGAGGGAGATTCCTACTTCATGGCACTGTTGTACCACCCTTTCAGTTACAGGTAGTCCTCAAGTTAATGACTGTAGCTGGGACTGGGAACCTATCGCTAAGTGACATGGTCATAAAGTGAAAAATCACATGACTGCATGGATTTACGATGGCAGTTTTGGCAGTTCCAGTTGTAGTCATTAAATGAATTGCGCACAATCATTAAGCGCGATATCACATGATCATGACTTGTGACTTCCTGCTGGCTTCCCCATTGATTTTGTTTGTCAGAAGCCAGCAGTGAGAGTCACAAATGGTGATCACATGACTGCGGGATACTGTGACCATTGTAATTGCAAGTTGGTTGCCAAGTGCCCGAATGGCAATTATGTGACTGTGGGGACACTGCAATGGCTGCAACTTTGAGGACCAGCTTTAAGTATCCTCATTCAGCACCATTGTAACTTCGAATGGTGGCTGAATGAGTGGTCACTAAGCGAGGACTACCTGTATTAGGCCAGTTATTTTTAAACACATGTTTAGTGCTTTTTTAGAAGAAAGCTAAACTTGTGTTTAACAGTAGCCAGCCTAACAGCTGACAGGTGGGGAGGAGATTCCAAGGGGCAGTGAGAGGGGGATTCACATAGTCCCCCCAACCTCTATCAGTGTTAGGCTGCCTACAGTTTGGGCCTGACGTTGGGCAGCCCGGAGTCTTCTTAGAGTTAAGCGGCCTTAACAAATCAATCAATCCATCCTTAACCAATCCTTAACCGATCAATCAATCGATCAATCAATTCAGCCCAGATATAAGGGATTAATACTTGGATCCCACAGTGAAAGAGCTGAAAACCCAAGTCTCTAGATCAGACCCACAGAAATAGTAACCTTTCCAGTACAGTATTTCAGTATGAGACACTTCCAGCCACTTCATACACACATGCTAATAAAATGTAAAAATCTGCAGTTTTCAGCAGAACTGGGGAGATGGGTGGGCTGCAGTGATGCCTGTAGGTACCAAAACCTCAACCCTCAGTTTAGTGAAACTTCTGTGTTCAGTAGCAATCTAACCTGAAGCACCATATTAAGTTAAATGGTGTTCAAGGACATTCCAGAAGGATGAGCCTATCCCATGCTGGAAACAGGATACTGGGCCGAGTGGAAATGTTATTTCTGATCCAGGAAGTTTCTTTTTAAAGCGTAGGCAAATGAATAGAGGCAACTGATGGGTATTAGTTATGGACGGTTCCATGTGCAGATGCAATAAAAGCTGCTGAAGGACAAACGGTGGGGAAAAAACACATTTGTGCTTATTTGTGGCTTCTGGAGGCATTGGCTCCAGCATCAGAAAGTGGAGTGTTTAGTCTTTTGACTCATCCAGTAGAGTGAAAAACAAGTTCTTCCCTTTCTACATTTTGCTGAGGAAAAGGTAAGTGTACATCTTGGCTCCACACCCTAAATCCACTGTTGGTTCCATCCTCTCTGTGCCCTGGCTCCCTCCTGGCCCCCCTTCATTGTGCCCTGGCTCCCTCCTGGCCCCCCTTCATTGTGCCCTGGCTCCTCCTGGCCCCCCTTGAGTGTCCCTGGCTCCCTCCTGGCCCCCTTCATTGTGCCCTGGCTCCCTCCTGGCCCCCACTTCAGTGTGCCCTGGCTCCCTCCTGGGCCCACCCTCATCTCCCAAGGTTCCATCCTTGTTTTTCCTGGCTTCTGTTCTGAAGCTGCTCTCTTCCAAGGGACCAGTTCATATTTTAGGAAACTTGGTTGCAAAGATGTGTTCAAACCCTGAAACCTAAACTCAGCCCCGTGATGTCAGCAGTTGCCTCTCTGTGCTGACTCTGGGAGGTTGAGTAACTGGGCCTCTCCCCCATCTCCCTCTTTGTTTTCTTTCCTCCCGCCCTCCCCAGGTTTTTGAAAGAGGGAACTTCTGCAGGTTCCCTTTTTTCTTCACAAGCAATGCCAACAGTGCAAGAGAGCAGAGCTGTCAAGGCCTGTGGAAGACCTCAGTTCAAGGTATGGCGTGAGAAGTAGCTAGAGGTAACAGAGGTTCCACGTATCTTGTGGACTAGTGTCTTGAAAAGCCTCCCTCCGGTAGTAGCTGGAATAAATTGTTGGGGGCAAGATGGGAGTACAGCTCACTGCACAACAGGACAAAATGGGAAGGCAAAACAATAGAACAGATGTAGTTTTAAAAGTTACGCTGGGTTAACCCAGATTCAAATCCACCATCAATCTTGGAAACTTACTGGGTAACTTGGGGTGAGTCACCATCTCTCCGCTCAACCTACTGTAATTCGCAGGATTGTTGTGAGGTTAAAACTACCAATATCAGGCTCTGTTTGGACTTTTTGCTGACACCTGGATAGGAAAAGATGTCGTTTATTGAACTTGCCTATAGTTAAGAGTTGAGTTATGGGATGAAGGGTTTTATATTTGTTTATGTCAAAGGTAGTGAATCTGTTTATATTATATTATGAGGATGAGAAGTCGCTTTCTTAGTTTTCTTTTCTCTTTCTATTTTTTCTTTCCTTTTTTCTTTCTGGCAACATTTATTCTCTTTTTCTTTTCCTGTTTAGTTTGTATTTATTTTTTATTATTGTAGTTAAAACTTTTAATAAAAATATTATTTTAAAAATAGCCGATATCAGCTTGAGTTTTAGAGGAAAGGTGGGATATAAAGTTGATCGAAAATATATATAAATTGTCTCTCAACCACCCAATCTGCACTGTGGATGTTACTGCTTGACTCCATTTTCCCAAAAAGTGCTTGAATTTTATTTCCACAACAATCTTGTAAGGTAGGCTATGGTGAGAGAAAGAGAGAGTAGCTGGCTACGGTTACCCAGAGAGTTTCCATGGTTGAAGATGGGTCTGAAGGTGGGTCTCCCTGGTTTGAGTTCAGATATTAAGCACTATTCCAGGCAACTTATTTAATTACTCTCCCCCCCCACCCCACATATTATCCTTCAACAAACTTGTGAGGTAGGTTATGTTAGAAAAGTAGTAACTGACCTAGAATCAACTGTGATATTCATGGCTTTGTGGGAACCTGGATCTCTGTGGTCCAACCCCTTGATCAGTATACACAACTAACCCTTTCCATTCTGTTTCTGAACACAAGATCTGTGAACACAATGTTAATTTGCAAGTTGTTCATTATTCAAAGTGAGGCTAGATGGCTCATAGTGAAGCAGAGACCAGTGTATGTCTTTTGGACATGATTGTACAGGAGTACAGAGATGGCTTTGAAGGAAATATACAGCCCTGTTAGTGAAACATGAACTTAGCCTGGGAATACAGGAAAGTGTGAGAAACAAACTCCAGTTTTCCCAGCCTTGATTCTCTTTGGTCTAAGATGGAGGGAGGCGGAAACACTGCCAGGCCTTCAAGAATATATTATTATGGTCTGGATTAATAAAGTAGAGTTCTAGTAAGAGACTCAGTTGGTGTAGTGGTTAAAGGCACCAGGCTAGGAACCAGGAGACCATGAGGTCTAGTCCTGGCTTAGATGCAAAGCCAGCTGGGTGACCTTGGGCTGGTCCCTCTCTCTCAGCCCTAGGAAGCAAGCAGTGGCAAACCACTTCCAAAAAAACCTTGCCAAGAAAACTGCAGGGACTAGTCCAGGCAATTGCCAGGAATCAAGAGGGCACAAATTTCATTTCAGAGTTCTAGTATTTCTTGGGG